AAAAAAAAAAAAAAAAAAAAAGAGCCTAGCCAGGCCCACGCTTTGTACAATTTGCCAAGTACCAACGTCCCTGTGTATGCCTTTCCCGTGCCAGACAGTCAGCTCTTGGGGACCGATTCCCAGAAGCCAGTCCCCACTCCTCAGGTGTGTGGCCCCCTGGCCCACGCTGCCCCACCGCTGGTCTGCTCAGGCACCACGGCTCTGAGCTGTCGGCGCACATGCGCTTGCTGGCCCTTTGTATTTTTATAAAGTACCTGTGATGGCTTTTCCTCGGCTCCCTCAAAGTTGGGTGCCTTTTTATACTACCCTGTATTCTGGTATTTAAGATTCTTTTTATCATTTGACCTGCAATATTTCCCCATTTTCATCTGACTTTTCTGGTTTGAAGAAAAACTAACTTGTATCGGAGAGAAAAAGAGAATGAAAAATTGATTCTTTCAAGAAAAGAAGAAATGGAAGCCTGGCACTGCTGGACAGGCAGGACAGGGCACAAGAGGCGCAGGCCCACGCATGGCAGCCACTGTGTTAAAGGGAAACAGACTGAAACCTCAGTGAGACAGAACTCTCTGCAGGGAGCAGGACGCACACACACTGTGTTCCCACGAGCTGCATGCTGCATGCAGCAAACGAGAGCAAGCCAGTGCGGCCGCCAAGACAGAGCGCGCCTGCAAGTGAAATGTTTTAATAGGGATTAAAGTAGTCACTTCATAATACAAGAGGGTCAACTCAGTGGCAGACAAAGCCGTCCTTGGCCGCAGGAAGAACAGTGGAGCCTCTGATGCAGCTCCTTACACAGGAAACAGGAGAGCTTAGAGGAGACACAAACCCACGTCAGGGACCACCACCCACCAGCCACACACACACACACCCCAAAAGGCTGTGTCTCTGCAGCCCGTGCAGGACGCCACACAAACTCCATGCGGTGGCCACGCAGCATGCCTCTGCAGACAGCATGAACTCATACAGACACCATCCTCAGACCACGACCCAACTGAGCTTTCAAAATATCCCGCACGCTTAGCCATCCACAACTACACTTTTACAGTATGTTTAAAACTGAAGACTGAATACACACAACCTATCAAAATTAGGGGTTGTGGCTAAAGCCGAAATGAGTGTGAGCCTGAAGGCATTAAACACTGATGAAAAGCCGAGAGTCAACCTAAGGGAAGTACATGCCTCCGAACTTTGGAAAAAGGACATCAAAATAAAAGGCAAGCACATGGAAAGGGGTCACGGGCAGCAGCCACTCAGCCCAAAACACCAGCAGCCAGTAAGTGAGAACAGCTGGAAACACACATAGTCCGTCAGCCTCCCATGAGGTACACAGAAAAACAAGAGCCCGAAAGACATGGGAGCCCTTGGGAGGGGAAGGTACTGCCCACAACGGGCGAGGCCTGGCACAAACACTCCAATGGCTTCATGCACGTCAGTCTGAAAACCAAGGTAAAATGGTCAGATTTGTAGAAAAGAACCCAACCTACCAAAATTGACTCAAGAAACACCCACGTCCTCCAACCACAACAGGAAATTCTACCTGCAGGAATCTGCCTCCCCACAAGGGATGCGGGCCCAGAGGACGTCCCCCAAGTCCACCACCAAGGGACAGCAATTCCAGCCTCACGCCCTCTCTTCTGGAGAACAGCAAACCAGCCCCAGGTGAGCACAGCCCAGGCGCGAAGGCCCCAGGGCAGGCAGCCGGGTGGCATGTAAAGTGAGATGCAGAGGCCCCAACCCACCCAGACCTCCAGAGCCTGAGGACATGGGTGTGTTCTGCACTGCGAGCTGGTGGGGCCTCTCCTGAAATGGCTTCACTGGGAAAGACAGTGTCACTCACCTCGCCCAGTATTTAACGGAAGCACAGTGTCCCAGAGCACAAAGCACTTGGTGGACCCCAACACTGCATGGCTTCACCACCTCGGTAGGTGAGGCAGAGGCCCCGACCTGGGCTGCTTGCCGCCGTCCACTCTGCAGCCCCACACCACCTTCCTGGCCCCGCCTCTCCCGGCGCAGACCTGCTTCTCTCCAGTTCTCCCCTCGTGGCGTTGACCTACTCTCACTCCGCACCAAGACCTTTAGGCCCTCCAGCTTCCACCTGCCCTGCCTGGACACCCAGGACCCCTGGCCTCCTCCCCCTTCCCAAGGCCTCACCTGACTGCCAGGTGTGCCGCCTCTCCAGGAAGGGCCTGAGAGCCTCTTGCACCCAGGCAGCTCCCACTCGGCGGGACCCTGTTCATGCGTCCTGCATGGCCTACCACGCTGCCACCCAACCCCCAGGACCGGGCAGCAATCATGGGGGGAAGCCCTCCTCCAGATGGGTGGCTCCAGGGACGGCTCTCTGACCTCCCCACACCCAGTGTCTTCCCCTCGGACAGGAGGACCGCCCGCCAGTTATGCCCAGGACCCGACAGCTCTAAACCACCTGAAGATCAGGACAGAAGGAAAGAGCAACCTGGTGGGGATGGGCATAGACGTGGCAATTTCCGGCGGGGCCAAGACCTGCATCCAGCACCAGACCCCATGGGGGCCCTGAGCTCTCCGAACCTCCGCTTTTATGCAAAAGAAAGAAAAGCCATTCTCTCTAGTCTCCCCTCCCATTGCTCAGGCATGCAGGGTGGCCACACGGATTACAGGACACAGTCCTGAGGCAGCAGGCACACCCTGGGGCGGACCCCCACGGCCCACACTTCTAAGCGGACCTTCGTCACAAAGCCCGTCTGTGAAAGAAACAAACATGTGGACGGCCATCTTGAACAACAGCCTTTATTTGGCACGAAATCCAAGCCTATTTCATGTTGACACCAGGAGCTCTGCCCCAGGGGCTGGGCCCACGGGCACAAGCACGCTAGTGAGGATGCTGCCTGAACTGCAGTCCACAGTAGCCACACGTCCCCGTCTTCGTTTCTTTGTCCTGAAAAATTTCAAAAGAAAAGAGCTCATGTTCCCATTCCTTCCTTCAAACCTGAGCACATGTAGGCAAGGGACACAGAAGCACATATGGCAGTGAGCAGTGCCCTGAGCATCTGCGGTGGCCGCAGACCAGGAGCTGGGCAGCACCACGGGCCGGGCCCAACCGGGCTCACGCTGGCCCGCCACAGGCCCCTGCCCTGGCGCACGTGGTCATCTCAAAGGCCGGCCGCCACTGCCAGCCCTCAGCTCAGCCCAGGAGCGCAGGCTCTGTGGACTAGGGGGGCAGGGGGAGCACCGCTGGACTGAGGCCCACCCCCGGCGAGACTGGGGTCCAAGCCATAGGCAGAAGGGGTGAGGGTGGGACCCGCTGACCCCCTGCCTCTCCCCAAGTCCACGGGCACGTTTTCCTGACCGCCGTGCATGTCTGGGCTCTACCTGAGCCATCTTCCTCTAAGGTCCACATCCTCCTCCCCACAGCTCTGTGGGTGCACCTGTCAGTGGACACAGGCACCAAACAGTGATTCCAGGGACAGACACCTGTGTGTGACAGTGAGTGTGCACGACTGCGCGTCACACAACTGCTCTGTTCAGTCCCATTGTGTGTGCTGCAGGTATGGACCAGACGAAAGGACGGGGCACGTTACCAAGTTTATGTACACTTTGGGGTGGCCAAGAGCGCCCCCGCCACCGTCACACGCTATCACCCGACTGCCAACTTCGCTCACGGGTTGCTCTGCTATCAAATCAATGGCGAAGTTATCATTCACCTGGAACAAGAAGGAAAAACTCTCATAGGTAAAACACAAGACCATTTCATCAAACCTTAATTCATGAAATACACACACGCACACATTTAATCTTCCCTTTGGTTACAAGTTTAAACTTACAGAAATGTTGGAGAACTCAACTAGCAAAGAAGTCTCCTGGGCCTCACCTGGGTTCTCAGGGCCCACGTGCAGCTCACATGCTTCCTTGGGCGCTCTCCTCCCCTGTCCCATCCCTCCTCCCTCTGCACACATGCACACATGCACAAACATACACGCGCATTTCCCCAGCTCCACCAGCCAGGGAAGGTCGGGAGCAGGGCCTCACATGGCAGTGAGCGCCCAGAGCCCCCGCTGTGTCACCGCCCTTGCACACTGAAGGGATGGGGACACTGACAGGCGCCGGGCAGGAAATGATAAAGAAAAACCCGGGGTGTGCTGTGTGAAAGGAGTCAAGAGACTGTCAGCCACAGGGAGCCAACGTGGGCACACGCCCCCATGGGAGCAGCGGGACCTAGGAAATATGCTAAAATCCGTGACTTCATAAAGACTTTAAATGCATTAAATGCCTTACTTGAGTGAATCAACTCATTTTTAAAAGTAGTCCATAGAGAGGAAGACCCAAGCATTTCTCATCCTTCCCTCTGGGAACTAAAGGTCCTCTCCATGCAGGTGCTCCAGCTGGTCAGAACTAAGGGCACATCATCCCTCCCGTCACGCGAACTTGCTGACTGTGAGGCGCTCACCATCACAGCCCAGCCACAGCTGACACAGGGGCACCAGGCCCCATCCACACAGTGGGCTCAGCAAAGACCCTCATCAAGCCACACTAGACCCGACCCCGGCACGCACCCCGGGACCCCACCCTGGCCCCGACACACACCCGGGGACCAGAGGCACACAGCACAACTGGGCTGCAGTTGCGGCGCCCGGCTGTGGGCAACCCCACAGCAAACAGAACCTGGGGCTCCTGACAAGTGTGTTCCAAGGAGGAAAAGGAATGGGTGTGGGTGCGTGTGTATGTGTGTGTGTTGGAGGTAAGTGACCTCAAGATTACAAGAAACAGATCAAAACAACTGCCATGCATGGACTTAGTAGGATTCTGAGCCCAACTGTACAATTTCTGAAATACGACATGATTAAGAATGTTTGCCATCACCTATACAGTGGTAACTTAAAGGAGCAACGGGTAACTTCTAGGTGTGAGGACGCTGGATCACATGCCCTCCCGGGGCCCTGCTCAGGCGTGTTCCAGACCCGATGACCCCATGCCAGAGTTCTGCTTCACGAGCCCCCAGCGCCAGAAGGGAGCAGGGTGGCAGGGTGGGGCACGAGTGAGCACAGCCGTCTTGGTGGGCATCCTGGTGGGTGACTGCTGAGGCTGGGTGGCTGTGCACACATTCCCTCCACTTCATAGTTTGTTTAAAACACCAACTCCAATGTACTGCCTTAGCCAGTAATTTACCTTAGGAAACCCTACAGCAGTAAACGTGGGGCCCTGGACAGGAGGCGCCCTGCTCGTCAAGGCTGACCTGACAAGCCGGCCACTCAGGGACACGAGGAGACTCAGCGCGTCCACTGGGCAAACTGTACAAGCAGTGTCAGTGTCTGTGCTGGGCGGGCCTGAGCTCGGAACACAGGGCCCAAATGTAGCTCAAAGCCCATCACCTGTCTGCTCAATCATGGCAGCCCACCAGGCACCACATGGTGCAGTTCCCACCCACCAAGCACCACATGGTCCTGTGCAGAAAACTCGTAGCGCCTCCCTGCTCCGAGGGCCTCTCCAGTCTGTCTGCAGCTGTCGCCTCATCCTCTGAACCGCTCCTGGCTGTCAGCAGCAGGGTCTGTCTGAGTCCAACACAGGCTCCCAGGGGCCATCCCACCTGATGATGCCTCAGGGGCCCAGCACCTCTCCCACAGGGTAGCCCACGAGGGTGGACATGGGGAACGACCCCACCCTCAGGCCGCATTTTCAGAGGCCAAAGGACTGTTCAACTGGAACACAACCCTAGACGGCAGGCCGTCAGAGGTGGGTCCCCGCTCCTCCCCTGTAGGCATCCCGAGCCACCACAGACCAGCAGAGCAGCAGCTACTCCTGGACAAGGCGGAGCGCTGGGCAGACGTCAGGTCAGCAGACATGCCCGGTCACTCCATGATTCCAACTCCACAAACAGCCTCAGTGTTTGCTGACAAATGGGGCCACGTGCTGGGCCAGCTGCCAGCCACGTGTCCAGAACCCGCTGACACACAGGCCTCCCACACGTGAAGCAGGAAACAAAGATAAGCACAGATCAACCTTTGTCGGGGGAGTGTGGGCTCAATACAATGGGACCTCAACACAACCTCGAAGTTAGGAAAGCACCATTTACTCAACTGATTTCCCTTGAAGCCAGCTGAGTCCCCTCAGAACACGTGCTCCTCAGCCTCACCCTCCACCCATGGCCTCACTGCTATCTGGACAAACCCCTCAGCAGAACCCATGCTCTGAACCCACAGAATGTGGACACTACTTTGGAAAGGTCTAATGATTTTTAAAAAGCTCCATCAGCTACAGATTGACTTCTTAAAGCTTTTGCTTAAAACTTCTATTTCCAGAAACACAGAAGTCACTGGGAAGGGGGCTACGTGGAAACAAACACGCTCACTGAGCAGGGCCATCACACTGTCCCACAGACGCCTTCTGCACGAAGCCTCTGCTGCCTGCCTCACGGCCTGCGCCCCGGCGCCTTTTGGCAGCCGAGCAGTGAGTCTCCTCTGCTGCAGATGAAGCCAGGCACCCCATAAAGAGTATCACGGTGTAAACGATGCGGCACCCACTAAGTGGCATGCGTGTTGCCAAGGCCACACTAGCTGGCCCCCAGGCCCCACTACGGCAGTCAGTGACCAAAGGCTTGCGCATGAGGGGGCTGCCCCCATCACTCAATGGCCCAGGGTGACCCCGACCTCCCACGACTAACATCTGGTCCCAGAACTGGTTCAGCCACAGGAACCCTAGAGCCCAGGCCTCGGCACACCCATCCCAACAGGAAGCCATGCACCGGCTACTGATGCCAGGTTAGACCCAGGCTCTATCCTGCCACCTCGCCTAGAAGGGTCCAGGAGCAGCAGCAGAGCAGCCCGGGATGTCACCAGGCAGTGAGTGCAGAGAGAACATCACAGTGTCACACGCACTCTGCACTGGCAAAAGTGGAGGGCATCTTAGGCACATGGTGTCACACACCCTTAACCGTCCTGCTGTCGTATGCTTGTCCTTTAGGTGGAAGATGTGAAACTACCTTTCCATTTACCTCTCGATGGTATAAAGATATTTAGGTTTAACTTCATTTGTTACTAAACTTTTACTTTTTTTAAACTCCCGACACTAGGAGTGACAGCTCCTGTGGAAAGCCCACTCCCTCACATCAGACCGACAGTACCCCTACTAAGGTGCAAAGTACACGGTTCTATGAATTGCTGCTGAGAGCAGGAAGGCGATGACCCAGCTGAGTATGTTCTATAAAACACTGGCCCTGAAATAAACTGAAAGACTGAGCTCATTTTTTTTGGATATCAAGTTATTTTTGACACTAATGCCAATAACTTTAGCTAAATATACATGTACACACAAGCATGTCATTTTTAAATCAGGGAAAAACATTTTCATGCAAATTAATTTTCAAGCAGAGGGTGGCTCGTCCAGGCCGGCTGGGTGCTGTGGGCTTGCTGCCCCGCTACCCGCCTCCTGCCTGGAGCCTCAGAACCACTGCACAGGCATGATTCACTCTAGCGCTCCCTGTCCCGGAGCCACCTCTCCTAGTCCTGGGGAACCACTGCACCCCACTGGAGCTTTCTCACCTCCGCGGGCATGTGTGTGAGCATGTGGGCGCATGGGCACATGGGTACGTGGGTGAGTAGGCGTGTGGGCACATGGGTATGTGGGTGAGTGGGCATGTGGGCGTGTGGGTAACTGGGCACGTGGGCACATGGATACCTGGGCGCATGGGTGCACACGTGGGTACAATGGTGGTGGGCATGTGGATGCATGCATGGGTGCGTGGGTACACAGGTATGCATGCACATGTGCACATTTTAAAGCCCACCATCCAGGTGGTGATATGCCGAAGCACTGGCGCAGGGCATCAACCTGGGAGGAAGTCCACCCTGCGTCTTCCCGGCTCCCGATCCAGGGGAAAAACACCTGCAAACTACGTGGCCCTCCACTCAAACCTGGCCAAGAGCCCCTGCAGGTCCTTCCCACTTGCTCCCGGGAAGGCTCAGCCGCCTGCTCTCGCTGGTCCTGTTCTTCAGTCCAGTTCATTTCTTAAAATAATACAGCCACTCGGAACCACAGACACGGCACGCCCGTGGCTGTCAGGGCTTGGGGAGTGAGGGAGGAAGAGGGGCAGCTCAGGGAACCTTTAGCTAGTGGAACTACTCCACACGATGCCATCCTGGAAGACGCAGGACACGACGCCACGACGTTACATACACATCAGAGCCCGAGGAACACCAACACAGGAGCAAACACTCGTGTGCACTGTGGCCCTGACCTGACGCATCAATGCTCAAGTGTCTAACCGGTCAGTTGTAAAGAACACAGCACACTCACGCGAGATGTTAGTAATAAGGGAAATACTCAAGGGGAAGGGGGAAGGGGGAAGAGGACTGTCCTTCTGAACCAGTTTCCAGGATGCCCAGAGGTCTTCAACGGCAGTAACGTATCTGGGAAACCAAAAAAATCTTAACCCATTACTCAGTGCCAAACTTTCACTGTAGAATGAAAGCCTGGTAGGATGCCAACTCATCATTCAGACATGCTGCCCACCTTTACCATGTGAGATGTGTCTCTGGCGGCTCCTGCTCTAGGGGACCCAGAGCCAGGATGGGGCTCAGGACCATGGCCAGCTCAGGGCCTGGGGAGCTGCCCGGCTGTGAGGCAGCAGGGTCAGCACTGCCTCCTCCTTTCATGCTTTCTTGGCTTCACTACACCCTGATTTTGTTTACCTGGCTTTGTTTCTAAGCTGCTTTGCCACTGTCCCCTGCTATGGCAACCAGAAACCAGAAGCCACCTGCATCTCCAGGAGAGAGGAGTTTGTGACAGACTCGGGTGCTTGCTAAACCTCAGAAGAGCTAAGATAGGGACCTGGAGGCCAGCCACAGGGTTGGTCCCAGGGCTTCAGGACCCATCTGCTCCAAAATGCCCCATCCAGGGCGCTGAGCTCCACCTCCACCACCCTGCTCCACAGCACCCACAAAGCAGAACAGAAGTCAGCCATCCGCCTCGGGGACAGAGAGTGTGGGGAACTCAGTTTGGGGACAGCTGAGGTACAAGAGGAGTCAACAGGCTGTCTAAGGGGAAGGAGGGTCTTGAGGTGGCTGCAGAGGCCAGAGCAACACAGGGTGCGTGGGGGGAATGCCTGGCCGATGCTCAGGACTCTGATGTTGGTGGTACGGGGGTGCGTCAGCAAGGAAGCAGGCTCACCTAGGCAGGAACCCAACGTCAGTGTTTTCTCAAGCAGCCACACTCACGTGGTTCACACTCAACTGGCTTTTCAGACCCCCTCAGAGAGGAACAGCTCATGGGCCACCTTCAGCTTGGCATGTAAGGGCCTGTAAGAACACAGCCTGATGTTTTGTGAGAACTATGAAAAGCATCCCTCAAAAGGTGACTGAAAAAAGACTTCAGAAGTTGGTGTCACTCACTTTAACCCAAGGGTCTCAGGAATATAAGGCACAGAAATGAAAGAAAAGAGCACATGCATCTGTAAGCAAACCAGAGCTACACGTATAAGGTACCACGTTACATACTTCAGGGGAAAAGACCAAAACCAATACAGACACTCTCAACATTCAGAAAAACTGCAGAATTCCAGAGCTCCTAGGATGCTCACAATTTGAGGATGACTTAAATCTTACAGATCACTTTTCAGTTCTTTCCAGTTATATGAAAGGCTGCTTACCACTCTTTCACCAGATCTTTTACTTACCTCTTTCTGACGACCAATAAATCGAATTTTCCTGTAGTCTTTATCATCATAAACCTGGAAAGAAAAAAAGACCGTATGTGATTTTTATGGCCTGATTCCCAAGGTCAATCATAAACATTGTTTTTCTTCATTTCTGCCGCTTACAATCAAACGTGAGGGACAAGGTAGAGCTGTGCGGCCAGGACATCATCAGCGAGTCCCCTAAGGTGACAATGGCAGTCATCCGACTGGAAGGCAGCAAAGCGGGGTGTAAAGCACAGGGCAAATCCAGGCAGAGGAAGGACCCCACAGCCTTGCTTCACACAGGACAGGTGACAGCGCACTGCCCTTCTGAGTCTACCGGGTGGCACTTTAACAATGCAGCACATTACTCTCACCTTATCACTTGGTTATAGCCTAACACTGTTCCTTGGTTCAGACGGCAGCAGACCCTCCGGCTATTAAAACGTATTACTCCCTATTACACAAACAATGAACCCAGAGGGAAGCCCACCCACGGTGCCAGGGACCCTCCCTCAGTAAGAGTGCAGAAGCCCTGATGAGACCACGGGCATGACGAGCACTGCGCGGCAGCGGGCCGGTTCCACCCACGGCAGATAGAGGGTCAGACGGGGCGCTGGGCTGTCATCCGAACGGGGCGGCCCCACCCTCAGGCTCCAAGACCAGCGCCACGGACCCATGGTGTGTGGCCGCGCGGCCAGCGCTAGGCCGAGGCAGCTCGGTACGCAGGAAGCCAAGGGGCGTCGGCGGGCCTGAGGTGCTGCGAAAACAGGGACGGGTAACCAGAGGGACTCGGGGCCGGAGGGACGCGGGGGCGGGGAGTCAGAGGGATTGGGCTGTCCGAGGGCCTGCGGAACGCGGGGCCAGGGAACCAGACGGACTGGGCTGACCGAGGGCCTGGGGGACGCGGGGCCGGGGAACCAGAGGGACTCGGGGCCGGGGAGACGCGGGGCCGGGGAGTCCGAGGGACTGGGCTGACCGACGGGGGGCCTGGGGCCGGGGACTTCAGACGGAACAGGGGACTGGATCGCGGGCCCCGAAGTCGATAGCGCCCACCGCGCCACGGCGGTTACCTGGCCAGTGTGCGTGACCTTCTCCCCGGCCAGAGAGGCATGCATCCCGAAACACCGGGCGCCCCGGGGCAGGCTCAACACCACTGCGCCGCCCCGGCCAAGAAGCCGACAGGTCACCGCCGCAGCCATTTTGTGGGCTGACCCTTGACCCGCGCACCGACGCATGCGCACTGCTTCTGCAGGGATCGCGCAGCCGGGATTTACCGCGCCCTGGTCAACGCGCAGGCGCAGTGCGGTCAGGCAGGGAATGCCCAGAAAGCGCAGCGGGTGATGGGGACTCAACCTCGATAAGGCGGGAAAGTGCGACTTACCTTGAGCGCTTAGCGGCTGCTGGGTGATTCGTACCAGCGGCAGGTTAGGAGAGGATGGAAATTGAAGGTGCATTGGTTACATTCGATTGTAATTGATAATCGTAGTTTATACATCGAATATTTGTATTAGCGAAGGGTCCTTGCTTAGGAAACTGTGAAGTACATTCGCGGTGCGCATTTGTGCGGCCAAGGGGACAGTATGGTTTGGGATTTGCGCGGCAGAGCCCCAGTGACGCACCACCGGCTGTCACCGCCACGCACATCAGCCCCGAGAGCACTGCCTTGCGGCACGCTAGGCAGGCCACCCGCACGCATCCCGGCGCGTCCTCCCCTGCACCTCTGCCCCTCTGCCTGCCTGTCATAGAAACGTCGGGAGGGCCCCGGATGGGCGAGGGCGGTGGGCAGGCCCTGAACTCAGAGCTGCGGTGGGGACGCACATCCTGGACTCCGGGGAAGTGAAGAAGCAGGCAAGGTGATGAGGCGAGATGCACCGAAAACCTCTCGGCCAGGAAAGATGCCCCCAGGAGGGTGCCCAGAGGCAGGCCTGAGCTCACCTGGGCAGGCGCGCAGGTTGACACACCGCCCACCCCGAGGCAGATCGCCTTCCGGTGCACGGGAACTGGATGGGTGGGTCTGCCCAAGGCAGGTGTAACGAGTTCCTTGTGGAGTCCGGGCGGTAGGCAGAGGATCCCTTTCTCACTGTAAGTCCAGGGAGAGGAAATCCCGGGGCAAAATACCTCTAAAAACCGAAATCAGTTAAAGGGAGAGATAAAGTTTAAAATATGTTTATGGCTCACAAACTGCACTCTAAGTAGGCCCTTCTCTTTCCTGCTCAAGCAGAAGCAAAAACCGGCCCTCCCCTCACCTCGGGTACAGATAAGCCCTCCGTGGCCCAGGTAATTATCCATTAATATGGAGATGAACTCCACCCCTGAGGAATGATGCAAATGCACTAAAGCCATACTTCTCTCCACCTCTGAAAGCCTGTTGATATGCAGATGTTCTAAAGCCAGGCGAGATATTCAGGAAATGTGAGTTTTACCCACTCACTGAGCTGCACCTCCTTCCTCCCAGGATGTCCCCTTAACACAAGCATGCGGATTTTCTACATTTTATTCTGGTGTCTGTACTCGCAAGTCCTTAAACATGCCTGTTTGGTTGCAACCTGTTTCTCTCTCGAGATACCTCTTTCGTTTCCCATTTTTGCCTCCTCCCACGCCGTGGCAATCCCGATACGTGGCCCTCGCCGCCATCTTCCTTTCGGGCGGTAACGCCGGCCGGCGGCATCCCAGCTCCACCGCGCAGGCGCGCGCGAGGGCGAAACGCAGTGCGGGTCCAGCCAAGTCGCCTTCCTCCAGGTCAGGGGTCCCGTGGGTGCCGGGGAGGTGACGGGGTTCGGGGCTGCCCGCCCGGAGCTGCCCGCGGGGGGAGGTGTCCGGGGCCCTCGGGCCTCAGTTTATCCGGGCGAGGCGGGCCGAGGGCTGGTGGGCTCGGAGGGCGGAAGTGGCCGCTCGGTGCTGGCCCGGCCCCGCGCCCCAGGGCTCAGGCTTCGCGGGAAGCGGGGCCCCGGGGCGTGCGGTGAGCCCCGAGGCCCCGGTCCCCGCGGCGTGCGGTGAGCCCCGAGGCCCCGGTCCCCGCGCCCGACGCCCACGCTGCCGCCCTCCCGCAGGTGCCCCTGCCCGGCATGGCCGCCCTCCTGAGGACGCTGGCCCGCGCCTTGCTCCCGCTGCTGCCCGCCGGCGCGCCCCGCGCGCTCTGCCCGCCGCCCGGACCCCCGCTCTGTCCGCAGCCCGCCCTGGGGTTCAGAACTAAGGGCATCCTTAGGAAGCGCTGCAGGGACTGCTACCGGGTGAAGAGGCGCGGCCGGTGGTTCATCTACTGCGCCACCAACCCCCGGCACAAGCAGAGGCAGATGTAAACCGCGCACCCGTGTGTCGCTTCCCGGAAAGTGGGATCTCCTCGTGGAAAGAAAAATAAAGCTTAAACATCTTGTAGTCGAAGAGCTGTAGACGTCCAGTTCTTGTTGACCCCGGGGCCTGGCATCTTGCCTTCTGCCAGGGCAGACCTAGTCCAGCCAGGCCCCTGGTGGTAATCGCGAGGTTTTGTCCTCTGCGAGCTGAGTGTGTGCTGGAGCTGGTTTACCCGCAACACCAGGATGCAAGTTCCATAGGGCAGAGCTGGATTCAGGCAGGGGCCCTTTCCATTGGGGCGGCCCAGTCCTGCATATGCATTCAGCCCAGCGGGTGCTTTTATCTGGACTGCACACCTTCCTAGATGTTCCTGTCTTGATAAGGATGAAAGCCTTGGTAGCAATCTTAAGGAAATTTAATTGCTTATATATAAAGGTGTTTTGGATATCAGTTAAATATGCCATCCTTAGACTGAGGCATGATTGTGCACGTATGGCATGTGCGTTTGTGTGCTATGCGTGTGAGTGTGAGGCTGGTGTGTGCATGTGTTTGTGTGTACACGTGATACGTAGCACGTGGGGTCCCAGTGTCTCCTGTCGCAGGGTTACAGCAGCCTCACCCACCACCCAGTGCATAAATGGCCCCACCAAGGTCATGTGCTGACACGAGTGCCTCCTGGGGCCAGGCCCTGTGACCTGGAGGAGGGAAGAGGTTGGGCCTGCCCAGGCAGCCTTCCTGTAAAGCCGAGGCTGGACCGGTTAGGCCAGGAGGGGTGGCAGTGTGGTGAGTGTGGGTGAGCAGGAGGTGCCGGGCCAGCCGAGGGACCTAGGCTGTGCCCTGCTGGAACATGAAGGATGCACGGAGGTGAGGGTGAGGGCCTGAGGCACAGCACTCAGCTGAAGGAAGGAGGGTGTCGGGCGTGATTCCACAGCATGTGGGGTGGCCCCATGTGCCACTCAGGTACTGCGCACACCGTCCTGGCCTCAGGGAGTCAGCCCAGAAGGATGAGGGAGAAACGTTCCTACTGATGGAGCACCTTACCTGGGCCAAGTGGGGTTCCACCCGTCTGCTGGAGCAAGGCCTTCTTCTCCCTCTCCCATGCCATCAGTGCTCCAGGCCCCAGCCCTGCCCTCCTGCAGGTACCACCTGGCCTCAGAAGCTGCAGCATGTAGTGGGTTTGCCACAAAATAGGTTTTACTTAAGTTGAACTGGTGTGAATCCAAAACATTCTAAGGCTAATTAGGATATATTTAGGTTCAGTTCCAGAACAACTGAACCAGCTCTGTGGCATCAGGTTTCTCCCCTCGACAGGGCCGACCTGAGCTGGGTAGCTCTGGGGCATCCTGTGTGCAGCCTGGTGTTCACCAGCGTGCCCCCACCCACTGGATGCCAGGAGCACCCCCCCTCCTGGTGGTGACAGCCAGAAAGAGTGGCCAGACAGCCCCTGGTGTGAAGCACTTCACTTCTCTGGTCTTAATGTTGTCAACTATGACAGGATTAGTGTCACCTGTCTTACCTTGGACCCCGTAACAAGGACTGGGATGCAGGTGGTCCATTTGGGAGGTGATAACAGAGCTCAGGTGGGAGATTAAGGAAGGAGAGGGGTGGGGTGTGCAAATGGGGCACATCAGGGCACTAGGCTCCATCCTACTGTCCTCGGGTTACACACATGGAATGGCCCCCACTTGTCCCACCAGGGAAGGAGGAAGTGAGCCATTTATCCATAGGTTCCTGTTGCTCATGGTTCAGGGGTCACCCCTGTTGGGGACTAAATGCACAAAGGCAGGCTGAGCAGACCCGCGGGGACCACAAGAAAGCCCTGTGCAGAAAGCAGGGGCTTGAGCGCCCATCTCAGAAGCTGTCCTCTGCAGCTGCCCTGAACTGCAGGTGGGCCAGGGCGTGGCTGGGGCCCCGCAGTCTGCAGTACTGTCCTTACTGAGAAACTGAATAATGGATAGAAAGTACTTTCAGAAGTTAGAAGTGCGGCTCACGTATACATTACAGTTATTCTCTGGAGGGGCTCCAAGACCTGGCTCAGGCAAAACCTATTTCTCAGTCATGCTTTAGTCTGCCACAGGGTCTGGTGCACAGTAGGTGCTCAACTAGTGAACATGCAGTCAGATGGTAACAGCTCCTTATACAAAGGCAGCACCTGTCCTCCCCACCTGTTCAGAACTTGCTAACCCACAAGGCTGTGCCTGTGACTCTTCTGAACAGCTGGCTGCCTCTTCCCATCTTAGGAACCCAAAGGCCTCTAGTGTGGGCCGAGAAGGTCAGTGCTGGATTTATCTAAGTATCTAGTTGCTTCCTACGTGTGTGGACATGCACACGTACAGCCACATGCACACACGCTACCTACACACATAAGTTTCCAATTATTTTCTCCTTGACAGGTATGCGTGAGGTGTTTATTTGCCTGTGCAGGCATCTAGCATGAGAGCATGAGATGCTAGTGTTACCTGATCTTCAAGGGATGGGCAGTGGTGGGGGCAGAGAAGCGAGGAAGCTCGAGTCCACAGGAACCTGTGATTGTGGTTGACAACCTGCATTCAAAATCGTCACTCCCTCCCGGATTGTTAATGTCCATTTGCTCCAAGGTCACTCACCAGGGCCAGCCGACCCCCTCACGGCCCACCCACCAGTACCAGGATGGAGCAGCATGCGCAGCCGCAACATGCCAGCATAACAACAAAAGAATCAGTTCAGGTGAGAAGATGGCAGGCAAACTACAGTCCACAGGCCAAATACAGCCCACCACCTACCTGTTTTTGTAAGTAAAATTTTATTGGAAGATAGCCATGCTTGTTCATTTATGCGTTGTCTATGCCTCTACACCATGTAATAGTGGAGTAGCTGCAACAATGACCATAGCCTGAGAAACCTAAAATACTTACTGTTAAGACTAATTTGCTGTGTGTCAACCCTTTGTTTAGACCCTCGAATTCCTTATCTTACCCTGGAGTTTGACTTCACAATAACCCCAACCTACCAGAAGCGCCTCACAGTCTCTCTTGCTCATACAGTGAGAGGGGCCCTTGTGTTTGTATACACTAGTCATGAGCAAACAGGAGTTGAGATTAAAAGTACCATCTATTATAACACCAAAACCATGTACAATTCAGGTGTCAGTGTAACGAAAACTGTATGTACATTCTGTATACTAAAACTAAAATGCTGTTGAATTTGAATAATATCTAAATAAATATTGAGGTATACCATATTTATTAATTAGAACATTTGATATTGTCAATTCTTGCCAAACTGGTCTACAGACTCAATGTAATCCCATTTTTGGAATTTTTGTACAAAATGCCATAGTTATGCAACATTTTATATGGAAGGGCAAAGCATGTAAAAAAAGCCAAAAGAATTTTGGAAATGAAGGAAAATAGTAGAGGATGCATGCTCCCTGATTCCAAGGTTTAGCATACGATCACACTACACGGTCAGGACTGGTGATGCATTCACCATAGATCAGTAGCACAAAGTAGAAAATTCAGACGTAGACCCACATGTATGTGGTTAAATGATTTTCAAAACAGGATTAAAGGCAGTTCAATGAAAAAAAGCATAGGCTTTTCGATTTAGTGCTAGAAAATTGAATTTCCATATACACAAAATATACTTCAGCCCATACCTGTCACCATATATAAAGATTAACTAAAAATAGACTGTAGGCCAAAATGTACAGCCTAATACTGTGGAAACTCAAGAAAACAGGAGGAAACACTTGTGACTTTGGGTTATGCAAAGCTTTATTACATCCAACACCAAAACTATGATCCATAAAAGAAAACATTAACAAATTAGATTTCATGAGAGTTAGTTATCTTCAAAATCTTTTCATCAGAGTTGGTATCTTCCCTTCAAAAGACACTTAAGGTACATGAAAAGACAGGCAAAACACAGGGAGAAAATATTTGCAGAGCACACATCTGGTAAAGCTACGGATCAACGCGCTACAAGGAAGTCTCAGAACTAACAAAACAGTCCAACTAAAAATGAGCAGAAGACTTGACATGTTTCACAAAAGAATGTATACTGATGGGAACCAAGCACATAAAAAAGATGTTCAACACTGGATTTTAGTGAAAACAGCCACAATGAGACAGCACTACACACCTGTCAGAGCAGTTAAAGAAATGGACACAGGCAGGTCTGGTGAGAGCGTGTAGCAACTAATTCTCAGTGGAAAATAATAAGCCATGTTGGAAACAGCTTGACCCTTTCTCATAAAATTAAATGTTCAGTTACTTAGAAATGCCACTTCTGGGTGTTTGTCCAATGAAAACTTATGTTCACAGCAGAATTTTTATGTGAATGTTTACAGTGGACTTATTTATAATTTTTTTTAAACCCAAGCAACTGGGAGCAGCCCACATGTCCCCAGCTGATGAGGGGACAGGCCAGCTGTGGTGCGCCCTTACCATGGGACACAATCAGCAGCAGAAGGAAAGAACCATGCAAACCACACACACAGATAAAAACGTGGGTGCATCTCAAATCCATCATGCCAACTGACAGAAGCCTGATTCCAGAAGCTACTTACTTTATGGTTCCAAAGGTCTGGCCCAGTGGGAAAGCCAGAATCCTGGGGACACAAGACAGACACGTTGCCGGAGCGGGGTTGGGAGAAGGTTCGGCTGCAGAGGGGCAGGGAGGGCGCTCTGGCTGGTGGGACTGCACCGTCTCCTGACTGGTAGTGGGTTCGTGACTATATGTGCTTATAGAGTGCACAGAACTGTACACTGGAAGTACAGTTTTACTGTAGGTAAATTATACTTCAATAAACCTTGCAAAAAATACCCAAATGGAACTTCTAGATAACAAATAGAAATGTCTAATAAATAAAGACAAAATAAATAAATGAAATTCATTGAGCTATGAGACAATATTGAGCATTCTAGCACAACAAAAAATGGCATTGCAGTGCTGGGGGACAGAGGGGCAGAAATAATGGCCAAATATTTGATGAAACAGTAAGTCCGCAAATCCAGTAAGCTTAACAAACCCCATTTAGGAAAAACATAAAATGTGGAGAGGATGTGAGAAGGTGCAGCCCTTCCACAGGGAGGCCCCACTGGCAGATTCAGCACAGATGCGGGGGGTGTCCTGGTGGGACAGGGTGAGAGGTGCACACGGGCCCAGGCTCAGGAGTGGGCTGGGGGCCTCTCTTCTCCACGACCCAGGCAGGCTGAGGCTCTGGGGTGGTCGCGCTGCTGAGTGCCCAGCCCAGGTGCCTGACCCACCTGACTGGATCGGGGCCCGGGGTGTTGGGGGCTGCATGACCCTCAGGGTGGATCAGCAGGCCTGTGGGGCCAGGGGGTGGGGACACTGACCGCCAGGTTGCACCTCTGTGCCTCTAGTTCTGCACGCTGACTCCCTTCGGTGACATAGTGTCAATAGGTGACCTGGGTGCCAATTATGAGAGTAGGAGGTGGACCCAGCTCCTCAGAAACACAAAACTGTGCCAAAGATCAGGGCTGCCTGCATTCCCACCCACCCTGTTCTCCCTCCAGAAGTGCAAATAATTGCCATTTTGGCATGTGTTGCCCCAGAATTTTCCTACACTGTTACCTACATCCTTGGAAAAACGTGGTTAGATTTATAACAGTTTAATGTTTACATAAAGAAAACCATGCTTCGCACACTAATAAAACTCTAGAGTCAGTTCAAAATCTGTCTCAGCTCTTGTCCCCAGGACAAGCCCTGCTGTTTGTCTGGGGGCCGTGTCCCTTCCCGTGGGATCGCTTCATAGCTTAGTTAACCATCTACCCCTGTAGCACACAGCTTTTTCCAGTTTTCTGCCATGATAAACAGTGCTTCTGTGAACAGTCTCATAGATTCCTCTATATGAACAGGATAATGCCCAGAAGTGGGGTCAAGAATAATACATATTTTATGCATAGAAAGTTTATTTAGTCTCCACAGTGGTACCACTGCCCACAGTGTGGTGTATCACCACCAGCTTTCCACACTGGATAACATTCTCCAGTTTTTGCAAATCTATGGGTAAACGCACGCTTCACTTTATTGTGTTCTCACGCATTGATTACTAGTGAGGTCAAACACATTTTGGTGCATTTGTTGCTGCCAAATTCTCTGTGAGCTTTTCTGACCTTCACAGGGTTTGTGACACCTCTTCTGTGCCTGAGATCTTCACCCTGGGAGGTCGTGGTCTGCGTGTCTGTACTGCTTCATGGGATGCGGTGGTGGCGACATCTGCCTGTCCTGGAGAGTCTGCTGAGTCCCCAAATGGAGGGTTTCTAGGGACCTGTCCACACCTTCTAAGAAGAGACTGTGACCCAGCCTCTGGGACTGCCCATGCCTGGCTTCGTGCGAGGACCGGGGTCTGCCAGGCAGGGCTGTTTGCAGGAGACAGCAGGAGGACGGACAGCACCCTGAGGTGCAGCCCAGGAGGGGAGCCCAGAGGGCTGTGACCGTGTCTCCAGGACTTGGGGAGGCCAGGCCCAGTGTCTGCTCCCCCTGGGGAGACTGAGGCCTAGGGCCCCAGGGAGGCCTCTGCATGGCAGGAGGGAGGCTTGGATTTTTCTTCCCCCCTGACCAGGGGCCAGAAGCCCGTGGAGACATAAGTCCTGATGAACATTTTAACAAATAAGTTATTTGCTCTCAGATGCTGTGGAGCAGACGAGTCTGCAGCAGTGCTGGGGAAGCAGCGCAGGAGAGAACCAGCTGACCCCCGCGGTGCAGCAGAGAGCGCGTGGAGCCACCTGGGGGCTTCGGGGTTCCTCCGCCCTGAGGCACAGAATCTACTAAATATTTGAACACATTTGTAAGCATTTCTTTGTAAGGCATCAGTGACGTACAGAACCATACTAGTTTCGGGTATACAGCATGGTGACCCAGCATTCATTTGCAATGTACACATTGCGAAGGGATCCCCACAATAAACCTGGTCAACATCTGCCACCACATTTACCGACAGAATTTTTTCCTTATGGGAGAAGTTTCAAGGTTTGCTCTTTTAGTGACTTTCAAATATGCAACCAGTGTTACTGACTATGGTTGCCAAGCTGTGCGTTACAGCCCCAGGACTTACCTATTTTATACCTAGAGGTTGTACCTTTTGACCCCTTTCACACAGTTGTTCTCCCCTGTCCTGCACCTATGGCAACTGCGGGGCTATTCTCTGTATTTATGAGCTTGGTTTTTATTCAGGGTTTTTTGGGGTTTTTTTGCTTTATTTTGTTATGCTTTTAGATTCCATTTATAAGTGAGGTCATATCATATTCATCTTTCTCTGCCTGGCTTAATTCACTGAACACAATACCCTCTAGGTCCGTCCATGTTGTCATAAATGGCAAGATTTCCTTCCTTCCTTTTTATGGCTGAGTAATACTCCATTGTGTATATGTACCACCTCTTCTTTATCCATTCATATATTGGTGGACACTTAGGTTGCCTCCATGTCTAACCTATTGTAAACAATGTGACAATGAACATAAGTGTACGTGTGTCTTTTCAAATTAGTGTTTCCATTTGCTTTGAGTAAATTCCCAGCAGCGGAATTGCTGGGTTGTGTGGTAGCTCTCTCTGACATTTTGAGGAGCCTCCATACTGCTTCCCTAAGGCCACATTTCTTTAATCTTAACATACCAACTGGAGACAAATGTATTCTACTCCTGTCTCATTATCAGTTTGGGATGTTTGAGCTTCGGTGCCATCAGCTTCCCCAAAAGAGGCTCCTTGCCGCCTTGGCCAGAGGAGGGCAGGCAGGTGAGCCGCCGCCTGTTCTTGGCAGTGAAATTTCATCGGGACACAGCCACACACATTCGTTCATGTATCGCCTGTGGGTGCCTTCACGCTGCAGCGGCAGAGCCAAGCAGAGGCATCAGGAACCTACGTGTTTGCTCTCTGGCCTTCTATGGAAAAGGTTTGCAGATCCTGTTCTAGAACGCCCTCTGCAGCAGGCGCAGTCTCTGACAGAGCCATGCTGTGTGTGTGCATGATGACAAGCCAGTGGGGGAGACAGTGTCCAAAGGGGACTTTAGGTGCCCTGAGATTTTCGTTTCAGCTCTAAAGACCTTCGAGCAACACTTAATCATTTTTCAAAAGTCAGGAAGTGCTAATAAGCAAAAGGAAGATCTAAGGAAAATGCCACGACCCCTCCTCCCTCCAGCATTTCCTTTCCTCTAGACCCAGCAGACACACACGGACCTGTAACTCAAACCACACCCGGCGCACTGTTTCAAGACGTCCCTGCCTGTCTGCAGTCTGCTCCCAAGTAGGCCTTGGCCCTTCCTGCAGCCTCTTCTGACTTATTCTTCTTGTTGAAAATTTTAAATTTTGAAATGATGTGCTTCCCCTAAACTAAAATGTAAAGCCTCAAGGACTCATTGAACAAGTTTTCTCTCAGTGATAAAAGACTTTTCCTTTGGGAAGAATGTGAAAGAGACATGAGTATTGTGTTTAGAAAAACATCTCTGGTCTAGTACAGCAACTCTCTGTGGCTTCTGCTGTTTACCTGAGGAGCCAGGTGGGCACCAGGTAATATATTTTATTATTATGCATTATAAGCCAATCAGCTTTAGAAAGACCCCTCTCGCATTCACTCCAAATGGGTACAAATTTCAGATGGAGAGTAAGAAATTAACTTGTTTCATGAATTGTACCTCAATTACCTTTGTTAAAGGCCAGGATGATTTGGAGGAAAACAGTAGTGTATTTGGTTTCCTGTGGTTGCCCATGACAAGTTCCAGACTTGGTGGCTTAAACCAACAGAAATTTATTCTCCTGCCTTCATGCAGGAGGAGACGATCTCATCACCTAACACAATCATGTCTGCAAAGACCCTGTTTCCAAATAAGGTAACATTCTGAGGATTTGGGGAGGACACCACTTTTGGGCAGACACTGTTCAGTCCACTGCAAATGGTGTAGAGTACTTTTGAAAATGATTTTAATTTAAATTACAGCTAAATAATATATTCACACTGTTCAAAATGCAAAAGGTACCCGTGAGGTGTGAGTCTTTGTGTTGAACCCACACCTCATTCTCCCCCTGGAAGCAGGCAGGGTCAGCTGCTCTGTGATCCCCCGGCCCAAGCCAAGCGTCCAGGCGAGTTCCTGTATCCCCATTCCTCCCCATTTAGAACACCTGTCCTAAACCCGGAAATGCGTCTGGACAGGGGTTCCCACCAGCAGCCAAGGTGTGTCTTTCTTCCATACCTTCTTTACCAAGTCGGCATAGGAGATTGTAAGTGTTTTTTAATTCAGGGCATTTTTCGGCATCTATATGAGATTTTAATTTTTTGTCCTTTTTTGACTTACAAAACATTCTGTTCTCTTTTTTAATCAGTGGTTGTGATGCCCAATTAGAGGTCCATTATTTCTTCCTCCGAGTTCCTACTTGCCATTTTTCTGTTTAAGAAACATGGACAAAACGAGGAATTTAAAGAACAAAGAGAAGCTGTTGTGCATTGCCTGAGACATTGGCTTTGGCTGCGTCCATGTTCAGAGACAGTGCAGGTGGAGGCTTGCTCGCCGGGCCCTGGAGTCCAGCCCAGCAGCTGCCACATCGGGGCGAGGCGCTTTCCTTCCCTGGCCAGCACCGCGGAGCGTTCGTAGTCCTTGCCTGGAAAGCAGTGCGACGCATGCTTTTCCTTCCCTAAGCATGGCAGGGATTCCTGTGCAGACCTCGGACAGTGCCTCTGCTGCCCTCCAGAAAGAGCAGAGGGGGCTTCCCCTGGGATTCCTGGCTGAAGGGGTCATCACTCCCAGGGGTCAAGTCACCACCAGTTCTCAAACAGGGCTATGCATTTTTACTTAGAATTTTTATCAGTTTCATCGCTTAACATGTTGTTTGAGAATAAAGGAGTCTGCTCTGGTTAGGGAATCAAACCTGGGGGGTCTTCATTTATTTCTCTGCCCACATATTTATTACGCTTTTATTTGCATCACAAACTGTATGGAACCTGTGGGACAGGTAAGGACTCCTGGTCTGTGGTCCCGCCCGGTCGCCTGGCATGTGCAGTTGGCTGTGTTTGTAATGCCCACGTGAGAGGCAGGACTGGAGTGACAGGGGTTCAAGCAAAATGCTCAACCTGTGCCCACTTATGTCCGTGGCCATCCGCGGCATTCACACAGGTTTTAAGGCAAAAAACCTCCTCTTTCTCCTTAGAATACAATGGAGTGTCTTTGGCGATATTTATCCATGGCCGTGAAAGCTTACCAACTGGGTAAGTCAAAGTGAGTGCTTCAGCATTCTGGGAAAACTTCCCAGATAAAGGTTTTCCTGTTGAGTGTGCACTGTGCGCAGATGCAATTTAGCCAGACTCCCCAATCTCCCTCTTTTTTAATAAACCAGCATAAAGTAGAATTTATTTACATAATGCAATGATCCATGAAGGTTACCATAACACCCAGGGACCACATTAACCGCTTGAGTGGAATTCATTAGAAATTAACTACCACTTAAATTAATTTTCCCACAGTCACAAGGCTGTAATGGTGGGAGAAGGGACCGTCCATCAGCAGGGCTGACAGGGGCCCTGTCACCTCCGTTATTTATAGGTGAGCGCGTCACCCCACAGAGCAGGAGCACGGGGCCCAGCTGAGAGCCTCCAGGTGCATAAAGGCCACTGTGAAGGCCCCGAAGCCTCTATGGAGGAGTGACCTGGCCTCGCTGGCCCCCCACTCTCTCCAGCAGTGAACGAGGGGTGACATGAAGCCACTCTGGCCACCGTGACCCACAGTCAGCGATGCCTCTGCTTTAAGAGCCTCATCGTAAACACATGCTCACAAGCAGAGCTGGTAAGACCGAGCCCTAGGAGCACAGGGTGCAGAGGCCCTTTTAGAGTGACTGCCTGTAATCCTCAGAGGGAATTCCAGGGGCATGGCCACCCCAGGGCCAAGGCCGGCCTTTGATGAAGGGATTGAACTGGCAGGGCCCCATTGGATGTCCTTTAGAGGGCAGAGAGAATGTGTGCATGTGGTGTGCGTGCATGTGTGTGTGTGGTGGTGCGTGCATGTGTGTGTGTGTGCAGTGTGGTGTGCACATGTACCTGTGGTGTGCGTGCAAACACAGGCAGTGTACATGTTCGTGAATCTGAATTACAAAGCACAAGGAAACTGCTCTGCCCAGGGCTGCTGATTTTGGAGAATTCAGTGGAGGTGAGTGGCCCCATCTGGCACTGAGGACCTCCACGGGTTGTCCCAAGGGTTTGCTGTCCATCACTAGCCCCTTACTGGGCCACCTCTGGTGTCCCTCACAGCCATTCTGAGATGAGGATCAGATGCCCTGTGTGGACGGAGTTAAGTGTGGTTCCCACACTACATGTGCTCATCCACTTGGGTAAGCAACCTGGCCTCACGAGCCCCATCCTTGCCCACACTAACTGAGGGGACTGAGAACGAGCGCCAACCTTTTCTCTCCAGGCCCGAGTGCTGAGTGGGGTCTGGAGCATGGCCAGGGGCAGGAGGGGCTGCAGAGCCACCACCTGGCTGGACCCAGCTGTCAGGCTGTGTGGGTATGTGACACAGGGAGCCACGCCATCCCCACGGGAACAAGCGCAGACCCAAGTGTGCCAGCCCATCCAGGGTTCCTAGGCAGGGGTGGGGCAGGGGCGAGCTAAGGGGCCTGGAAAAAGACAGGGTGTGGGCAGCAGAGGTCTAAAGGTCCCTGGGGTCCATGCCCTGGGCTATGTTCTCAGCTCCGCCTGCAGCAGCGGGCTCGGTTCACATCCAAGCTCCGAACCCACATGCCAGCCTCAGTCATCCCCAAATCAGCACTGCTGCCAGGACCACAGGAGGGCTGCAGCGGCCTACTCTCGGGGGGCCACTGGGGGGTCAGGCAGGAGCGGTGACAACCTCCCTCCGTGGGACTGGAGCGTGCAGTGGGGGCTGCCCTGTGATGTCCTGTGTGCCTCTCTGTGCTCCATTCAGCCCCTGAAAGGACAGGCCCTGGGCCTCCTCTTGTCCTAGATCAGGCCGGTGGTGGGAGGGGGCTTGAGGCCAGTGAGGACCAGGGCCAGAGGAGCCTTTGCTGGACCCACATCAGGAAGGCCCCTGGAGTCTCCCCAGCAATGTCACAGGGGCTGTGGGCTGGCGCTTGGCTCCTGGACCAGTGGATGGAGACGCCTTCTTGGGAAGAGAGAACACGTCCAGGTTCAAACCATCGGAGACACCTCTCGCTAGGGGAGTAGGCCTGAGCCCCTGCATTGCCCCAGCCTCTTCTGGAAAGTGCAGGTGTGGGCGTGTCTCAAGCAGAGGGCCCTGCCTATGCCCCAGTGGGAGAAGA